CCAAGAGATTACATTACTAGTGTGTGTGTGTGTGTGTCTATATATATATATATATGTTGGTATACTTTGGTGACAGATTTTCTTGTAGGCAGATATATATATATATATACTGATCATATTATTTAATACCCAGTGGAAAACTGTCACTCTTGACTCTGCCCATAACCAAAAAAAGGGTTATTAAGTAAGTTCTTGATTGTTTTACCTCTTCAGTAGGTCAATGTTCTTGGCATTAATCCTTTTCAGCCCATATCCTTTATAAGAGCAAATAACACAAGTTTTAAAATTTTCTGTCGGATCTTCCCGTCATATCATTTACAAAATAAAACTATAAATTGAATGTGCAGTTTTAGAACATTGTTTTGTTATATATTTTATTACCTTTTGTTTTGGATGAAACGGTTATAAAAAATCCAAACTTCCAACCTTGATTTAGACACCCCCACCTCTTCTTGATTCTTGATAGAAAATAACGTGTTAAATGCTTTTTAGTATATAATACATGATTTGGTTTTTTCTATACGTTGGCTAGATTATTTTCTTCATTTAAGATGCTTATTTCTTTAAAAATTGTGATAATTGAAAATTCATATAATAATTTAGTAACTTTTAAATATTTTGTATCTTTTATAGTATTGATTCACTGTCTAAGGAAGTTTTGTAGAATTTACCGAAACATACTATTTGGATTATTATATATTTTTAGGCTTCTACACAGATATTGCTTCAACACAATTCTTTTAAAACAGCAGTGAATTTGTTATAAATGCATTTTAATAATGTTATTACTTGTAAAATATAATTCTACATAATTCGTTATTTGTTTGTATGTTATTTCATAGCATCATAAACTTATTGAACAGCATCCCTTAGAGTTGCAGTACAAACCATTAGAAAATACATCTTTAATATGTATTGTTGCACTGTGATGGTTCATTTTTTTTTTTTCCTGTCCTTTAGGAGTATGGTTGTAAAAGACTAGATGCTTATTTAACTCTGAAGTCAAAGCTACTGACACGACCATTAAAGAGGAAGCATTCAGATGAATGAAAAAAACATCAAAGTTGCAAAAGAAGTTTGGAAAGTTGTTGTGAGATGAAAAACAAAACCTTTTAAGTACACCGGTAGAGGGTGTTAACTGTTGGTGTAGTTCTAAACATACTGTGTTTTTGTTGTATCCACAATAGCATTGTTGTTATCAACAATATTTACGTACATATCAGAAGCTTACAGAGCAGATTGCCTTTATTGATTAAAAAAAAAAATTAGGGTTAATGTCTAGAGAGGCAAATTATTAATGCTGTAAATGTGTATAGAATTAACTTATCAATAATAAAAATGTGTATTGTTCTTAATTCAGTAATGTTATTAGGAATTGTACATCATCTAATGTTTCTATTAAGTTAATTTTCAAGTGACCATTATCATATAATATTATAATAACAAAGAACACGTCATCTAAACATACTGCAGCAAGAGAACTAATTATATTAATGTCTGTCATCATTTTCACGATATTAAGAGTTCATAGAACTAGCTGTAAATTATCAAATTATTGTACACCCATATCAATTATTGTTCAATCTAAACTACATGCATATCAAACACAATATAACTGAATGCAACTGCAGTACCTCACAAATAAAACAGATGATATTCCATTCATTTCACTATCAGGATATGATTGTACAGAAGTTTACATGAAAATATTTAAGTATGATACACACACTAAGACGTAACACTTGGTGTTTTATAGCACATTTTCCCCAAAATTTTACATCACACCTGTTTGGTTGTCCCTGGAACAAAGAAATGGAAACATGTTTTCTTTTGGGGCCCTTAAGCTACGAGCTTTCCAAAAATTAACAGAGAATTCTCATACTAGTTGAATTTTTAATAGAAGCAACCCGACTAATCTCTTACTCACGATTCCATTTTTTACCAAAAAAGTTTGCTATAGTAATATTTTTTCAACCAAATATGTTGAAGTTTTAGATTACATAATTAATTTTAGGGTAATTTTATTTAAAAACATTATTTAACCTATCAGTTGGCAGTTATTATTATCATAGTCTAAATGTCTTCAATATCAGTAACGACTTCCTGTGGGTCCTCATTTTAACAAACTGTACACAGACAAAACTCCATTCATGTCGGGCCTTTTATGATTGAAGTTGTATTTGTTGGGTGCACAGTTTCCCTTTCTGCATTTCACCAACTTCATGACTGTTTGTGGTGCTGGTTTGAGCTATGATGTTACAGGCACCAGCGAATCGCCATGTTCAACACTTCCAGTTTGCTTCAGATGTAAGTGTTGTTGTATGAGGACGTGTGTCTGATCCTAGACGAAGGCGGGCATGGAGAATATGTTTGTACAGTGCTGCATCTGCAAATGCTCACTGTCTGCCTGGTATTTGCAGAACAAATATCCTTGAAGCTGTTTCAAGTCTCTCCTGACAACTCCAGGGTGTTGGTATGGGTGATACAAAACTGGTAAGTGCATCTTCGGTTGCTGGACTGACATCATCTATGTTACCCAATACCTTAAAGGCATTTATAGTGCCCTCATCTGCATGGAGAAAAAGTTTGATCCTAGTTACTCTGCATTTGTCCAGTGGTGTCACTGCCTGTAAAGGCATGGAACCTCAACAAAACTTTGGCTTTATCTACTCGTAGTAAGCTGTACTTGATTCTTCCCCATTTTCATTGGAAACAAGCTTGTGAAAGTTTGAAATCACTGTTTCAGATGAGAAAACACACAGTTCTGAGGAATATGGAGAATTTGTGTTGGTATATAGAGCATGCCATATCAGAGTGTCGCCCTCTTCGTGATTATGGGTTCCTCATCAGAACTGCAGTATGTATTTTCAGCTGCTGATGCATGAAGAAGTTTCACAGTGTTTCTGAATGCATAGAGAGATTTCTCGATAAGATAACAAATGAGCTCTTGCTTTATATCCTCCCGATATAACAGCTTCTTTCATGCTAACGCTTGTGTGGTCAGCCACGTTCTATGTAAACCTCTTTTTCTCGTCTATCTTGTTTTGGTTTGAGGGAATCTGGTTCGTAATTATTAAAGATTAGGTGCACATTATTGTAATCCTGAGTCCAATGCAGTATTTGAGAATAAAATAGTGTAAGACATTTGAATGTGAAGCTAACAGTCCTTACATTAATAATTTTAGATTTTAAAGTTTTTATTTTAGTGATATAGATCTTAAATACCTTTTTAAGTATCTTGTTTAAAATGCCAACATTTTTATATCTAATTATCTACCAGAACAATTATCACAAACTAGAAATTGTTTTGTTTATTTATTTTGTGATAGATTTAATAGAAATAATATGGATGTAACGAGAATCATGGAGGAAACAACATGACAACTTTGGTGACAATGCACATAAATTGATGACCTCGGCAAATATGGAACAAATGCTTGACAAAAATGGAAACATGAATTATTTATTCATTGGCCCTAAGATGTAGACAAATTAACCAAAAAAACTAAATTAACAAGGAATTTCCATGAAATTGAACAAACAACATAACTCGGTCTTTTTTCTTGATATTTTCTCTACTTTGTAATTTTTTTACAGCCAGTCCGTAAATACCTTTTTTTAATAGATCAATGTAAAATTTACTTTTAGTGCTGTAGAGCTTAATAATAATAATAACTTGCAAATTTTATATGAAAGAAACATGCTTTCATGTTTTTTTGTTTAGGTTTTTATCTAAAACATTTATTTTTATAATTCACTTATATGTA